CCTAATAAATGTCCTTACAGAAAATCTAACTGCTCATTTTAAATCTACACTTTGACTTTTAATACTTAACTACAACAAATATCACATACTTTAACACTTTTAATACTTAACTACAACAAATATCACATACTTTAACACTTTTACTCAAGTTATATTCCTAAAGGAGACTTTAACTTTTACCTAACTCATTTTTATGATAAGATACTTGTACTTTTACTCAAGTATCACTTTGTGGTACTTTATACAACACTGCTTGAGACCACGTGTCCACAAACAAACCATTAAAGTCGTGTTGATGTCCCAGTATTTATGGACCTGAATGTACAACAGCTGATTACCTTTGGGAGTCAGTCTAATTAAACTGTCTGCCCCTGCTAATCAGCTAACATGAAAATGACCAACAATCTCTGATTTACAGATAGATATTGGCTGTGACCATCTCGTTTCTCAACATGAGTCCTAAAATATAAACCTCTGGCATAAAAGACAGCAGGTGAGACAAGTTTGGCCTTTAAATATTGCAGGAATCATTTTAAAAAGGGCAGAAACAAGACCGAATGCTGCTGTCACTATGGGACACGTTTTTATTGAATGATGTGAAAAAAATGACTCAGACTTTTACAATAATAAAAACTTTATTGGTATTATAGCAGTGAGTCATGAAAACATTTAGAGTTGACACACAACAGGTTGATTTCTGAGCTGCTGCCTGATCTGCAGCATTAAAAACACAGGAAGAGTTAGAGAAGTAAGGTTGTGTTGGGGGCAGTGGCACTGATGGTGGCGTCTCCACAGGTCTACATTCCTGGAGCTGGCTCCTGGATACAACAAGGCACCACAGCAGGAGGCACTGAAAGCCTTTCAGTCTGCTCCTCTCAACAACATCCAGTCAAACAGAAAAACTTTCTGTGAAAGGCAGACATGAGCGGTCAGCCAGTTAGCTCAGAGCTGCTTTTTAAACTCCAGTTACATGTTTAAAACTGAAATAAAACCAGACATTTGACTTTTCTCTCCCTCACATCACTACCTGAGCATGAACGTAAAACATTACAGATGCACGAGCGCAGCACATACACACACAGAGCATTTTAGGCACAAACCTGCTGCACTGCTCTGCAGACATGATCAGCAAAGGTAAGAGCAGCTGGAGAAGGCAGGCTGATATTTTGTCTGTTAGCAAAATATCTCCTGCACCACTAAACAGATTTCATTGAAACTTTCAGAAAGCAGTCAATGGATGCACGTCTACAACTGAATAACTTTAGGCCTCACACACTTCAAGCTGCCTACAGTCAACTGACATGAAAAAACTCTGAGCTGACAATAACTCAGTCAGTTTTACTGAGGTAAACTTTGATATGGTAGTAGTGCATCTTCCCCAGTACATACTTACAGGACAACACATTGTATGTTTGCTTAAAACCCTGGCAATGACTGCTCAAGGCATTCTTTGTTTGTTTGTTTGTGTTTGCTTGTTTGTGTTTGTATGTGTTTGTTTGTATGTGTTTGTTTGTATGTTTGTTTGTGTTTGTTTGT